TGTTGTCCCTCCCCAATCACCCCACTCCCTGCTATCCCTCCCTATGATGCATACCCCTCAAGAGGTCCCAGAGTATGAAGTTCCACTCCCTGTGTCCATGTGTTCTCATTGTTCAACACCCACTGATGAGTGAGAACATGCAATGTTTGGTTTTCCATTCTTGTGTCAGTTGGCTGAGAATGATGGTTTCCAGATTCATCCATTTCCCTGCAAAGAACATGAAATCATCCATTTTCATGGCTGCATAGTATTCCATGGTGTATATGTGCCACGTTTTCTTTATCCAGTCTATCCTTGATGAGCATTTGGGTGGGTTCCCAGTCTTTGCTATTGTGAACAGTGCTGCAATGAACATAGATGTGCATGTGTCTTTATAACAGAATGGTATATAATCCTTTGAGTATATACCCAGTAATGGGATTGCTGGGTCAAATGGTATTTCTATTTCTAGATCCTTGAGGAATTGCCACGCTGTCTCCCATGATGGTTGCACTACTTTACACTCCTACCAACAGTATAAAAGTGTTCCTATTTCTCCACATCCTCTCTAGCATCAGTTGTCTTCAGATTTTTAAATGATTACCATTCTAACTGGCATAAGATAGTATCCCAATGTGGCTTTGATTTGCATTTCCCTAATGACCAGTGATGATGAGCATTTTTTCATATGTTTGTTGGCAGCATAAATGTTGTCTTTTGAAAAGTGCCTGTTATATCCTTCACTCACTTTTTGATGGGTTTGTTTGTTTTGTTCTTGAATATCTGTTTTAGTTCTTTGCAGATTCTGGATATTAGCCCTTTGTCAGATGAGTAGCCTGCAAAATTTTTTTCCCATTCTGCTGGTTGCAACTTTAATGATTGTTTCTTTTTCTGTGCAGAAACTCTTAAGTTTAATTAGATCCTATTTGTCTATTTTGGCTTTTGTTGTCAATACTTTTGGTGTTTTAGTCATAAAGCCCTTGCCCATTTCTGTATCATTAATGGTACTGCCTAGGTTTTCTTTTAGGGTTTTGATAGTGTTAAGTCTTATGTTTAAATCTTTAATCCATCTGGAGTTAATTTTTGTATAAGGTATAAGGAAGAGGTCCAATTTCAGCTTTCTGAACATGATTAGCCACTTTTCCCAATATCATTTGTTAAACAGGGAACCCTTTCCCCGTTGCTTGTTTTTGTCAGGTTTGTCAAAGCTCAGATGGTTGTAGATGTGTGGCGTTACTTCTGAGGCCTCTGTTATGTTCTATTGGTCTATCTCTGTTTTGGTGCCAGTACCATGCTGTTTTGATTACTGTAGCCTTATAGTATAGTTTGAAGTCGGGTAGCATGATGCCTTTAGCTTTGTTCTTTTTGCTTAGGATTGTCTTCGCTCTGCAGGCTCTTTTTTGGTTCCATATGAAGTTTAAGGCGGTTTTTTTCCAGTTCTGTGAAGAAGGTCAATGGTTGCTTGATGAGGATAGCATTGAATCTGTAAATTACTTTGGGCAGTATGGCCATTTTCACAATAGTGATTCTTCCAAACCATGAGGATGGAATTCTTTTCCATTTGTTTGTGTTTTCTCTTATTTCCTTGAGCAGTGGTTTGTAGTTCTCCTTGAAGAGGTCCTTCACATCCCTTTTCAGTTGTAATCCTAGGTATTTTACTCTCTTTGTTGCAATTGTGAATGGGAGTTCACTCATGATTTGGCTCTCTGTTTGTCTGTTATTGGTGTATAGGAATGTTTATGATTTTCACCACTGATTGTGTATCTTGAGACTTGCTCTAGTTGCTTATCATCTTAAGGAGATTTTGGGCTAAGACAATGGGATCTTCTAAATATAAAATCATGTCATCTGCAAATAGAGACAATTTGACATCCACTTTTCCTAATTGAATACCTCTGGATATCAGCACTGATTCCACAGAAATACAAATTACCGTCAGAGATTACTATAAACACCTCTATACATATAAACCAGTAAATCTAGAAGAAACAGATAAATTCCGGGACACTTATACCCACCCAAAACTAAACCAGGAAGAAGTTGCATCCCTGAATAGACCAATAATGAGGGTCTAAATTTGAGGCAGCAATTAATAGCCTATCAACCAAAAAAAGTCCAGTGCCAAATGTCCTCACAGCCAAATTCTACCAGATATACGAAGAGGAGCTGGTACCATTCCTTCTGAAACTATTCCAAACAATACCAAAAGAGAGAATAATCCCTAACTCATTTTATGAGACCAACATCATCCTGATACTAAAACCTTGCAGAGACACAACTAAAAAAGAAAATGCAAATCAAAAAAAGAAAATGCAAATCAAAATCACACTGAGATAACATCTCATGCCAGTTAGAATGGTGATATACCCAGTAATGTGATTGCTGGGTCAAATGGTATTTCTATTCCTAGATCCTTGAGGAATCACCACACTGTCTTCCACGTTGGTTGCAATAATTTATAATCCTTGCAAAAATCTCGATGCAAAAATATTTAATAAAATACTGGCAAACCGAATGCAACAGCACATCTAAAAGCTTTTCCATCTCGATCAAGTGGGCTTCATTCTGGGGATGCAAGGCTGTTTTGATGTATGCAAATCTATAAATGTAATCCATCACATAAACAGAACCAAAGATAAAAACCACATGATTATCTCAATAGATACAGAGAAGGCCTTCAACAAAATTCAACATCCCTTTATGCTAAAAACTATCAATAAACTAGGAATCAATGGAATGTATCTCAAAAAGCTATTTATGACAAACTCCAGCCAATATCATGCTGAATGGGCAAAACCTGTAAGAATTCTCTTTGAAAACTGGCACTATACAAGGTACCTTCTCTCACCATTCCTATTCAACATAGTATTAGAAGTTGTAGCCAGAGCAATCAGGCAAGAAAAAGAAATAAAGGGTATTCAATTAGGAAAAGAGGAAGTCAAATTGTCTCTATTTGCAGATGACATGATTGTATATTTAGAAGACCCCATTGTCTCAATCTAGAATATCCTGAAACTGATAAGCAGTTATAGCAAGTCTCAGGATACACAATCAATGTGTAAAAATCACAAGCATTCCCATACACCAACAACAAACAGAAATCCAAATCATGAGCGAACTCCCATTCACAAATGCTACAAAGAGAATGAAGTACACGGGAATACAACTAACAAAGGACATGAAGGACCTCTTCAAGGAGAACTACAAACCACTGCTCAAGGAAATAAGAGAAAACACAAACAAATGGAAAAGCATTCCATCCTCATGGTTAGGAAGAATCACTATTGTGAAAATGGCCATACTGCCCAAAGTAATTTACAGATTCAATGCTATCCACATGAAGCTATCATTAACCTTCTTCACAGAACTGGAAAAAACCACCTTAAACGTAGTATGGAATCAAAAAAGAGCCTGCATAGCCAAGGAAATCCTAAGCAAAAAGAACAAAGCTAGAGGCATCATGCTACCCGACTTCAAACTATAAGGCTACAGTAATCAAAACAGCATGGTACTGGTACTAAAACAGAGACATAGACCAATAGAACATAACAGAGGCCTCAGAACTAACGCCACACATCTACAACCATCTGAGCTTTGACAAACCTGACAAAAACAAGCAACGGGGAAAGGATTCCCTGTTTAACAAATAATGTTGGGAAAAGTGGCTAATCATGTGCAGAAAGCTGAAACTGGACCTCTTCCTTATACCTTATACAAAAATTAACTCCAGATGGATTAAAGATTTAGACATAAGACCTAACACTATCAAAACCCTAAAAGAAAACCTAGGCAGTACCATTAAGAATACAGGAATAGGCAAGGGCTTTATGACTAAAACACCAAAAATATTGGCAACAAAAGCCAAAATAGACAAATAGGATCTAATTAAACTTAAGAGCTTCTGTACAACAAAAGAAACAATCATTAGAGTGAAGTGGCAACCAACAGAATGGGAAAAAATTTTTGCAAACTTCCCATCTGACAAAGGGCTAATATCTAGAATCTGCAAAGAACTAAAACAGATATACAAGAACAAAACAAACAAACCCATCAAAAAGTGGGTGAAGGATATAACGGGCACTTTTCAAAAGACAACATTTATGCTGCCAACAAACATATGAAAAAATGCTCATCATCACTGGTCATTAGGGAAATGCAAATCAAAACCACATTGGGATACTATCTTATGCCAGTTAGAATGGTGATCGTTAAAAAATCTGGAGACAAGAGATGCTGGAGAGGATGCAGAGAAAGAGGAACATTTTTACACTGTTGGTAGGAGTGTAAATTAGTGCTGTCTTCCATTGTGGAAGACAGTGTGGCAATTCCTCAAGGATCTAGAAATAGAAATACCATTTGACCCAGCAATCCCATTACTGAGTATATACTCAAAGGATTATAAATCATTCTATTATAAAGATACATGCACATCTATGTTCATTGCAGCACTGTTCACAATAGCAAAGACTGGAAACCAACCCAAATGCTCATCAAGGATAGACTGGGTAAAGAAAATGTGGCACATATACACCATGGAATACTATGCAGCCGTAAAAAAGAATGAGTTCATGTCCTTTGCAGGGACATGGATGAATCTGGAAACCATCATTCTCAGAAAACTGACACAAAAACAGAAAACCAAACCCTGCATGTTCTCACTCAAAAGTGAGTGTTGAACAACAAGAACACATAGACACAGAGAGAGGAACATCACACACTGGGGTCTCTTGGAGTTGGGGGGCTAGGGGAGGGATAGTAGGGGATTGGGAGGTTAGGGAGGGTTAACATTAGGAGAAATACCTAATGTAGGTAACAGCGGGATGAATACAGCAAATCAGTATGGCAAGTGTATATGTATGTAACAATCCTTCAAGATCTGCACATGTACCCCAGAAATTAAAGTATAATAAAAAGAAATGACATAAGGGTATAAATACTAATTTGGAGGATGTTTATAAACGTAAAAAGAAAACAGTATAGTAGGTATTATATGATCTCGCATTATTATTAAGATATTTGTAGTGCTCACTTTGTCAGCACATATACGAAAATTAGAATGATACAGAGATTAGCATGGCACCTGTGCAAGGACACATAAAAGTTTGTGAGGCATACAATATTTTTAAAACACACCAATGTACAAAGATTAGTGTTATTATGAAGCAACCACACAAACAAGTCTGCAAAATAAACAGCTAACATCATCATGACAGAATGAAATTTACACATAACAATATTAACCTTAAATGTAAATGGGCTAAATCCCCCAATTAAAAGACACAGAATGGCAAGCTGGATAAAGAGCCAAGTCCCACTGGTATGCTGTCTTTAAGAGATCCATCTTATGGATCTTAAAGACATACCTAGCCTCAAAATAAAGGTATGGAGGAAAACTTATGAAGCAAAAGGAAAAAGAAAAATGCAGGGGTTGCAATTCTAGTTTCTGACAAAACAGACCTTAAACCAAGAAAGATAAAAGAAGACAAAGAAGGGCATTACATAATGGTAAAGTGTTCAATTTAACAAGAGATAACTGTCCTAAATATATATGCACCCAATACAGGAGCACCAAGATTCATAAGCAAATTCTTAGAGACCTACAAAGAGATTTAGACTCCCACACAGTAATAGTGAGAAATTTTAATACTCCACTGTCAATATTAGATCATCAAGATAGAAAATTAACAAACATATTCAGGACCTGAACTCAGCTCTGCATCAAGTAGACCTGATAGATATCTGCAGAAATCTCCAACCTAAAACAACAGAATATACATTCTTCTCATTGCCATACAGCACTCACTCAAAAACTGATCACAAACTTGGAAGTAAAACATTTCTCAGTAAATGCAAAGAACTCAAATGATAACAAACAGTCTCTCAGATCACAGCAAAATCGAGTTAAAACTCAAGCTTAAGAAATTAATTCAAAACCACACAACTACAAGAAAATTGATCAACATGCTCCTGAATGACTCCTGGGTAAATAATAAAATTAAGGCAAAAATCAAGAAGATATTTGAAACTAATTGGAACAAAGGGACAATGTTCCAGAATCTCTGTGACTTAGCTAAAGCAGTGTTAAGAGGGAAATCTATAGCACTAAATGCCTACATCAAAAAGCTAGAAAGATCTCTAGTTAACAACCTAATGTAACAACTAAAAGAATGAGAGAAACGAGAGCAAACAAACCTCAAAGGTAGAAGAAGACCAGAAATAACCAAGATCAGAACAGAACTGAAGGATACAGAGACATAAAAAAATAAAAAGTAAATTTAAAAACTTGAAAAACTCAACAAATTGAGAAGGCTTTTTTCTTAAAAAATTAATGAAATAAACTACTACCTAGACAAATAAAGAAGAAAAGAGAAAAGAATCAAATGGAGACAATTAGAAATGATGGGGGACTATCACCATTGATGCCACAGATACAAACAATCATCAGAGAATACTATAAACAGCTCTACACACATAAACTAGAAAATCTAAAATAAATTGATAAATTCCTGGACACATACAACCTTCCAAGACTGAACCAGGAAGTAGAATCCCTGAATAAATCCATAACAAGTTCCAAATAGCCTACCAACTAAAAAAAAGGAAAGAGGCAGTAAGAAATAGCCTACCAACTAATAAAAGGAAAGCCCAGGACCAAATGGATTTACAGATGAATGCTACCAGAGGTACCAAGAGAAGCCAGTACCATTTCTTCTGAAATTATTCCAAACAATTGAAAAGGAGGGACTTCTCCGTAACCCATTTTCTGAGGCCAGCATCGTCCTGATACCAAAACCTGGAAGAGATATAACAACAGAAAAGAATATTTCAGGCCAATATCTCTGTTGAACATCAATGAAAAATTCCTCAATAAAATACTGGCAAACCAAATCCAGTAGCAAATGAAAAAGTTTATACACCAGGATCAAGTTGGCTTCATCCCTGGGATTCAAGGTTGGTTCAACATACACAAATCAATAAATGTGGTTCATCACAGAAATAGAACTAAAGACAAAAAGTACATGATTATCTCAATAGATGCAGAAAAGCCCTTCAATAAAATTCACCAATGCTTTGTATCATAATAAAACTAGGTATTGAAGAAACATACTTCAAAATAATAAGAGCTATATATGAGAAACCCACAACCAACATCATGCTGAATGAGCAAAAACTGGAAGCATTCCCCTTGAAAGCTGTCACAAGACAGGGATGCCCTCTTTCACCACTTCTATTCAACATAGCATTGGAAGTCCTGGCCAGGGTAATCAGCTTCCACTGAGAAATAAAGAGTATTCAAATAGAAAGAGAGGAAGTCAAATTATCTTTATTTGCAGATGACATCATCCTGTATCTAAAAATCCTATAGTCTCAGCCCGAAAGCTTCTTTATAAGCAACTTCAGCAATGTCTCAGAATACAAAAATCAATGTGCAAGAATCCCTAGCATTCCTGTGCATCAAAAACGGGCAAGCAGAGAGCCAAATTACAAATGAACTTCCATTCACAACTGCCACAAAAGGAAGAAAATACCTAGAAATACAACTAACAAAGGAAGTGTAGGACCTCTTCAAGTATTGCAAATAACTTTTGAAAATATCAGATCAGAAAGGACACAAACAAATAGAAAAACATTCCATGCTCATGGATAGGAAGTATCAGTGTTGTGAAAATGGCCATACTGTCCAAAGTAATTTATAGATTCAATGTTATTCCCATTAAAGTACCATTGAGATTCTTCACAGAATTAGAAAAAAAAACTATTTAAAAATTCATATGGAACAAAAAAAGAGCCCAAATAGCCAAAACAATCCTAAGCAAAAAGTAGAAACCTGGAGGCATCACACCAACTCACTGAAAACTATAGTACAGAGCTACAGTAACCAAAACAGCATGGTACGGGTACAAAAACAAACACATACACAAATGGAACAAAGTAGAGAACTCAGAAATAAGACCACATACCTACAAACCTCTGATCTTTGACAAACCTGACCAAAACAAGCAATGAAGAAAAGATTCCTTAATTAGCAAATTGTGTTGGGAGAACTAGCTGGCCATATGCAGAAAATTAAAACTAGACCCCTTCCTTACACCTTAAAGAAAAATTAACTCCAGATGGATTAAAGACTTAACTGTAAACCCCAAACTATAAAAAACTGAGAAGTAAATCTAGGTAATACCATTCAAGACATAGGCATGAGCAGAGATTTCATGACAAAAACACCAAAAGCAATTGTAACAAAAGCAAAAATTGATCAATGGGATCTAATTAAGCTAAAAGTGCTTCTGCACAGCAAAAGAAACTATCAACAGAGCAAATAGACAATCTACAGAATGGGAGAAAATTTTTGCAATCTATCCATCTGACAAAGGTCTTATATCCAGAGTCTACAAAAAAATTAAATTAAAAAAAAAAACTCATTAAAAAGTGGGCAAAGGACATGAACAGAAACTTCTCAAAAGAAGACATTCATCCGGCCAAGACGCATGAAAACAGCTCAGCATCACTGATTGTTAGTGAAATCCAAATCAAAACCGCAATGAGATACTATCTCACACCAGCCAGAATGGCAATTACTAAAAAGTCCAGAAATCAACAAATGCTGGTGAGGTTGCAGAGGGAAAGGAATGCTTTTACACTGTTGTTGGGAATGTAAATTAGTTCAACCATTGTGGAAGACAGTGTGGTGAATTCTCAAACATCTAGAAGCAGAAATATCATTTGACCCAGCAATCCATTACGGGGTATATACCTAACGGAATATAAATCATTCTGTTATAAAGATACATGAATGTGTGTAACATGGAATTACCAAAACGCCCATCAAAAATAGACTGGATAAAGAAAATGTGGTACATATACACCATGGAATACCTATGCAGCCATAAAAAAGGAACAAGATCATGTCCTTTGCAGGGACATGAATGGAGCTGGAAGCTGTTATCCTCAGCAAACTAATGCAGGAACAGAAAACCAAACACCACATGTTCTCATAAGTGAGATTGGAACAGTGAGAACATATGGAGATGTGGGGGAACAACACACACTGGGCCTGTTGGGGGTTGAGCGTGCAGGGAGGGAGAGTATCAGGAAGAATAGCTAATTAATACTGGGCTTAATACAAAGGTGATGGGATGATCTGTGCCACAAACCACCACGGCTCACACTTACCTACATAAGAAACCCACATCCTGCACATGTACCCATGAACTTAAAATAAAAATTGAAGATAAATATTTGTATATGAATATTTATTTTTAAATGCATGGATGATTTCTAGAAAGATACATTAGAAATTATTAAATTATTAACAGTAGTTACCTCCTGAGAGTGAGTTTCTTCCCACTCTTCACTTTATGGTTAAAATTTTTGATCAATATATATTTATTGCATAATAAAAATATTTTCCATTCTTCTCTCTTCTCGTGGTTCCTATAAGATGTTAGTATACTGTTTAGAAATTCTGAATCAGGAAATTCCCATCACAGGGTATATGCAACATCATAAAAATAAGGAAATTAGAGTAAAAAGAAATTAGGGCAGAAAACAAATTAAAACTAAGGTTTTGTCCACAAACAATTCTACTAAACAATTTTTTCCAGTTGTTAGAGATGGACTGTTACTGGTTAGATGGGCGATTTCTTAAACAGTTTGTTCCAGTTGTCAGAGAAGCTCTGTGCTTCCAAATGTCTGAGGGAAATGGGCAAATGTGATGAGTTTTGAGAAGTATGTAATATTATCCTGGTGCTGTGACCTAAGAGCACTTTCTACTACCCTTGCTCTTCAATAGGACATTGTTTTCTTGGTAATCATCATATTTCTTCATGGTAAGGAAACTGTCTATGTAAGAGAAGAGCAAATAAAAGAATCAGCAGTTGATCTCAAATCAATGAACTTTTTCTTTAGAAAAATGATTTTGCTTCCTGACATATTTTATCACATAAAAGGAAGCTTAGATAGTTCAAGATTTGTTAATCCTAAACTAATAACAAAAAAATACTTTAAAAATTTGTTGAACAGCCCTGAACTACAAGAAAATTTAGAAATGTTCTTGATGTAGAATCAAGAAGATGCATAAAAACAAGGAAAGGTATGTTTCTCTGGTAAAATGCTATACTACATTG